TGTGTGTGTGTGTGTGTGTGTGTGTGTGTGAGTGTGCGCGTGTATGTGTTTGGAGGGGGGAGGGGGCTTATGTTTGTAATAAAGAACCCTTTTTTAGACAAGAAAAATTGAAGTCATTGCACTGAGTTACAGGGGTTAATATCAATTACAATTGTCACCCCGCAACTCTGCTGCGTGTGACGTAGTCAGAGATCGCGGCTCAAAACAACAAGTCTTTCGGTCCTTTGAACTCTCGCTGTCACGGAAGCCTCCCCCCCCAAAAAAAACCCCAGCTCCCCGCCCACCCCCTCCTTTTTCCTCCGTCCCACACCCTCTGTGCAACGCCAAGGGCACGTCACTCATCCGCTTCTCAAAGCGAATCAATAGCAAAAAAAAAAAAAAAACGAATCAGAAACTAGGTACCTAGTTTTTGGAAAAATTAACCGGAGACCTAGTTTGGGCTCGTATTCGGTTATTCGAATAATTTATTCGGTTTCTGCCCAGGCCTAACACAACGTGGTTGCAGGTTGAGTCAAAGCACTCTCTGGTCAAAGTTACTCTATCTTTGCCTGAGTGACACTCTCTCGTACTGTCTCGTAGTAGTAAATGTAGTACAGTGGAGACCACATATAACAGGCCCGGTAATAACAGGGATCCGGTAATAACAGGGATTTTTTAAATCCCCGTTTTTCCTACTCTTTGTCTCTATTTAAAGTTATCGGCAATAACAGGGCCTCATCGGATCATAACCGGTTATAGCAGGGACAATGACTCGTAAACAATGTGTGAAGAAAGAGAGAGAGAGTAACGCAGTGATGGAGCAAGCCCACGCAAACCATGCCACTGCAAGCACACGCAGCGTGTGAAGCGAGAGAGGGCTGCGGTGTGCTGCAGACCTCGATCTAGCCCGAAACCTAGCAACACGGGCGCGTAATGTGTCACCAACAATGTCAAGCGCTAGAGAAAATGCCTTTCAATAGACAGAAAATACGAAATTATCCAGGCTGTTGACAAAAGGAAAGCTCGACTGGCAGAGATTTGTCGTCAGTTCGACTTTCCACAAGGGTCGACTCACACCATTATCAAGGATAGAGAGAAAATAGTGGAAGCATACTATACCCCAATGGGAAGTTTGCTCTGGATCAAAAGAAGATTAGACTACCCGATGCAGATGCTGTGGACCAAGCTATTCTGATGTGGTTTAAGGAGGCAAGGAGAAAAGTGGTGTCAACTGTTCGTGAGTACTTGTGGCAAGGGAAACTACCCATGAATAAGTATAGCTGGATTAGTCTAAAAATGCTTACTTTTCTTGCATTTCTGATTTAACAGGGATCTGATATAACAGGACATTTTCTCGACTCCCACCATCCTTGTTATATCAGGTTTCCACTGTAGTAGTAGTAGTAGTAGTAGTAGTAGTAGTAGTAGTAGTAGTAGTAGTAGTAGCAAAGATCGTGTAGAGAATCTTTGGTAGTAGATTCTATCTAGTAGGCAGTTTAGTGAAGGTGCACGCGGCAGGGCGAATCGGCCTCGATACGCCCCGTAGACTTTTGCGATCGGCCACGAAGCCTCGTGTTTTGATGGGTCTAAACAACTCAGTGTTAATCGCACTGCCACATCCGCCAGGCCTACATTTTTTTTAAAGGAAAAGAAAGATCATCAAAATGGTTGAATTCGCGTGAAAATCGATTCGGTAGAACTGGAACTATTAAAATTTGCTTCTGAAAACAAGGCAATTTTTATTACTCGATGAAATAAAAACTACTGGCTGTGTTATTCTGTATGAAACTTCAGGACGTATTATTTTCCAACATCTTTTGACGCCTGAGCTGTAGGCCTAGAGGTTGAAGTTTTCACAACACTAATAGATTTAGTAATAGAGCTTTCCGTAAAAAATGCATAGATCTACAAAAGCCGAACCACTGAATCGACCGGTCAGCGACCCGCTCTCCCCTGCTTCGGTACCACATTATCCAACTATTGATACGCGCAGCTATAGCAATTGGGATGAACTGACTGACATAACAATTCACAGTTTTGCTTTTTATTTTACCATATATACATGTATTTGACTTTAATAGTGCAGGTGATTGCTAGATCTAGTTTCCCTGTCTAGAATCAGTAGTAGTAGCAGGCCTATGCTAAAAGCAGCCAGAGAGCCTACAACTGCTAGATCTAGATCTAACCTATTACTATGCCTTTGGGCTTTGGAATTGAAATAAAATGAATTGCACAGTTCTAGTTAATTTTAGATTCAGCAACTATCTGTATTTCCAGAGTTAATAATAACAAATCTCACCATAACAATCACTTTTACTTTTATTAGAATAATTTAGATCCAACTTTTTTTTCTAAAATCTGTTTTGTGCAAACTTATATTTATAT